TAGGCAGTGTTCAAGCACTCATCCTCACCTAGTTCTGGGAGCCTGACCAATTTTGACCAAGTTTTATGTAAATAAGATTACATTATAACTTTTCATAGTTTTCCCCTGTTTTCATGATCTTTTTTTCATGTTGCACAGACTGTTATGGAAAGTCAGCCTGGAGGAGGTGGTGCCCCCAGGCAATTTCTCACACAGAGACCAGGTCTGTCTGTCCGTTCCCAACACCCTGTCCCTCGGGTTGGTATTCGTCTTCCTAATCAGCCACCATCACCTTTAACATCCTCTGCTCCTGGGGTGGCCACCATCCATCTACAGAACCCTGGAAGCCAGGGCACAACTCGTAGTGACAGGAACCCGAGCCCCCAACAGGCAGTCCAGGACGCCGGAGGGAGAAGTGGTCTGCAGGATCAAATTCAGACCCTGGGCTCTGAGGTGCGCAGCTTGGGTCTGGCAGTGAAGATGCTAGTGGATCAGCAGTGCCGCCTGGAGAGGGAGCAGGCACAGCAGACGCACATTCAGAAGCAGATCCTCAGCACTCTCCAGAGTTTTGCTTCCAAACTGGGACGCTGTAGCAGTGTTCAACAGCAGCACAACAAAACTCCATCACCCTCTGGTTTGCCAACAGCTTCTGCATCTACCTCCTTCAGCCAAGACACCTTCAACTTCAGCCATGGCACGTACACTCAGTGCAGCCAAACCCAGCCAAGCTACAACTCTTTAGAGAGTTTAGAAAATGTAGAGGCCTTTAAATTGCCAAGACTGAGCCCTTCAAGCATAAATGGGTTTCCGCCATGTACAAATGCCGAGAACCTCCCACTTACTCACTCTCCCCCTCAGACACAAGCATATGCAGCTGCATATCCACCGCAAAACAGTCAAACACTCATGCCACCCTACACACAGTCCTATGTCTCTACATACAACCAGTCACATGCTCAGACTTTCAGAGGATCAGAGAGTAAAACATCAGATTTCCAAAGCAGCTGTCCAACGAGGACTCTCCAGGATTGCACTGTGTCAACCCAGCCGGTGATGAATAACCACTCGTCACAGGATCAGCAAATCAATATCATCAAAGTGGAAGGACCTTAGAGGGCTTCAGGTGCTTTTTGGGACCAATAGGGCTTGGATGTGCTTTCTTAGAGTCACTTTAGAGTACCTCTGTAAGACACATGTTTTTACAAAGAACATAATGATGTAGCATTTCTTAAATTAATTAATTTTATTTCCAAAGTACATTTTAAGAAAATATAAACAGCAATAGAATAAATGGATGGCTTTAGTAATAACATGCTAAGGATTTGTCTTTACTATGGCGAATGATTACAAAATTAGAGAAATTGACACATGCATTTTTTTAACAACACTTTTATTTTGTACCTATTATTTTTATATACTGGCATTACAAACTGTTTGTTTTCATACCACTATAACTAATTAACAAAATAAAGAGATGGTTATGATCCAAAGCACGATCCCATTTCAGTGTGTCAGTCACTGTTAACATATTGAGACGCTTTCCCAGAAATGCGTGTTCCATAAAATTTTATCATAAAAAGTTTATTAAGTGCTATAGAGTTTAGTATACAGATAAAACAGTGAGATCAGCATGTTGGCAGCAAACAGCAGAAGCATACCAAAGGTGCAGTTCATCTCACGTCCTGCGCAGGAGGACTGAAATTTAAGAGCTGTAGTTTAATGTATAAGCATAACTACTAAAACTAAACTAAGATAATATAAACTGAATATTGTGATTAATTATAGGCTTCATATTTAAGGACAAATCATTGTAATGTTTCTTAATGAGAGATAGCAGTGCCAGTTCATTTGTTAATCTTTGTCAGATCTGCTGATCACACAGAGCTCATGAGGTGAAGGGGTGAGGATCAAGCCCATAACTGGTGTCACATCCAGCTCATCCTCTGTAACTCCAGGTGGAGGAGTGAAACGAAAGCACTGAAGGAGGGAGGTGAAGAAGAGGAACAGCTCCATCCTGGCCAAACTCTCCCCTACACAAACCCTTGAGCCTGAAACAAATCAAGGAATGTCACATCTTCAAGTAAATTTGTTCTCGTGGTAATCAAAAAAATCGCACTTACCTGCAGAAAACGGTAGAAAAGCGTCTCTCTTTCTAAAATTCCCTTCCTTATCTAGGAAATGGGCTGGGTTGAAGATGTAAGGCTTTTCCCATTCATCTTCATCCTGAAGTGCAGATGACAGCAGAACAAGCACAGGAGTGCCCTAAAATATGTTGGAGATGATAACATGTTTTAAGGTTGTACATGTTTCAGTATTATGATGGCTGGGAATACTTTATGGCAATGCAAATTATAACATTGTAGCCCATTTTTTAGACCACAGCTTCACCAGAAAACACATCCAGCTTCATCCTCTGAGAAATCTGGATCAGTTCTTTGAGACAAACCACTGAGTCCTGCCCAACACTGGAGGCTGTAGCTAATAGATCAACAGCAAAATCTTTGGAATTTGGTGAATGACATTTCACCCCCCCAAACTACCTCAAATCAAGTCAACATTTTAACTATAAATGTAGTAAGGAATTTGAGAGGACACCTCATAGTGACACAGAAAACTCCACATCCACTGTATATTGGGGTAAAGAACTGCTGTAAGCAGAGGATGAATCAAATTTGTGAAGGTTAGTTTATCACACGCTATTCCTTACACTGCACACAATATAACTGAATTAAGTGAATTAAAGCATTCTCACCAACCAAACTCAATGGACAAGGTGTATTGTATAACTTTGGTGGGAACACAGCATGTGAAGTAGTGGGGGGGTTTAAAAGTTGTTTTACCTTCTTGATGAAGTAGCCCTTGAAGGTGACATCTCGGGAGGTGCAACGTAAAACTAAGGGGGCAGTGCTGACAAATCTCTGTAGTTCATGGATGACTGCATTAGTGTATGGTAGATTTTTCCTGTCCTCTACCCGGACCTGACGGCTTCCTACCACCCTGCCAAGCTCCTCCTGGACCTGGTCTGGGAGATTAAAAATGAGAACAGGCTAATTAGTATACAGCCATGGGGGTGCTGTAACATGGGCTTCCAATCAACTGTGTGCCCTCTTATTTTGAGCCATCCACTACCAATATATTAACTGAAGAGACCATGAAAACTCAGATTTTGTTTGTTGTTCTTTGGTCAAAGCTGGGCTACTCCTCTGGCTGGAGGTCTTCGGGAATGTGAAGAGGGTAAGTCTCAGGAGGCTCTTCCCAACCATAATATGGCAATCACAAATGTCTACCTCTCTGAGCAAAGTCATCCTCATCGCACTTCTGATACCAATGGCATAAATCAGGGTTTGCAGGTTGAGTTACGTAAGTATTAAAGGATTCACTGAATATGTTGCCTGGGGAAGATATGTAGCGATAGTTGTCTTACTCGGAAACGCTGAGGTTGTGCTAAACATAGTTTTACAAATGAGAGGCCAAGTCTTGAAGAAACAAGATTTTGATCAATAAATGTTTCATGAAATATTTGTGTTCCTTACCTTGTATCTTTGGGTACTTGGCCATGAGCAGTAAGCCAAATCTAATAGTAGAGGACGTAGAGTCAGTGCCAGCAGCAAACAGGTTGACAACAGTCATCAGTAGGTTGTCGTCATGGTAGTAAGAATTCATATTCCCGGATGCCTTACAAGCATTGAAACAATGAAAACAAATATATAAGTAACACAATTACATTCGAAAGAAGTAGTCAACTTCTAAGATACCTTGTGTTCACTTTATCAAATATGTCACACTAATATTAGGATAATAAACCAGCTTCATATGAGGTATAGCTACTTGTTACTACTAAGCAGTAACCATTTTGCATTGGGTGATTCAGTAACTTTGTTAACCGGGTCATATGTACAATAACCACTTGTTTATATATACACAAATTCTAACTAATTATACTTAATACTGTGTACTGTCCATTTGTAAAGTTGAAGTTCAACAATCCTGCATTTCTTCTTCTTGTTTACCTCAAGTTGTATCTTTCGGGCCAGAAAGGCATCCACCAAACCTCTGCACATCTGTGGATCAAGGGTGTCCTGTAAACCCTTGATCAACTTTGTCATGCATCTCCTATTAGCAAACGCATTCTTCATCAGTTGCTTTCGAGCTCCAAGCCAACTGAACAGCCATGGAAAATGGTTATATAACTGTTGAACAAACAAGCATTTTAGACCTAGTAACAAATCTATTGTTATTTTTTGTTAATTTAGTATCTGCTTACTTAGGGGCACTTAAGGATTAACATATCAACCTACATATCCACTACATTTGATTATATAAAATGTATTTATATAATAAACTTTATTTATAGAAAAAAGTAAAAAGTGCTTCACAAGACACAGAGAGAAAGATTAGATACCACCATCCACCACAGTGGATGAAAAAATCCCATGCCAGAGGATCTCATAGTACGTAAAAGCTTATAAAGAACTTAAAAGATCCAAAATATAATCTGGAGCCAGGTCATGGAGAGCCTTAAAAGTCGTAGTCCATACGATCTTAAAACCAATCCTACAACAAACAGGGAGCCTTGTTACCAATGTAAGGAGGCTAAAACAGATGACCTCTTGGTTCTGGTTAAAAGCCTAGCAGCTGAGTTCTGTATAGTCTGTAGTTTCAAAGATTTGGGATTAAGACAAGAGATGACATTTGTTCCATGTGGAGTACTTGGAAATGACCACATTGCTAGCCCAATACTCCAGATGAGATGGAGGTTCCTTTGCTACAATTCCTCTCCCTGTGCCTCATTCATTCACACTACTGGATTGTGTTATCCATATCCGTGCTCTATCAACTCATCTCCTTTAACAGATATTGGCAGACACAGATATTTTCTTATATCTAAACCTTTCCAATTTAACTAACTTTAATGTCATTGAACTGTAAGAAACTCTAATCTTGCTACATGGTGAAAGTGCTAACCAATGAGCCACCACAATGCACATTCAGTGCTCTGTAGCTTGTTAATGATATGGTTTGCCCTTTCCTCATGCACACTCTGGTCACACAGAGCAGAATGTCTTGACATTAAAGTTAAAGAGTAACCCAGTGTGACCAGGTCTGACTGGATTTATTGTAAATATTGTACAACTGAGTTAGGTAGTATTTGCACTTGAAACAAATAACTTAACTTTGTAAGTTAATAATTACACTTGGCACATGTGTTCTCTTCTGGCAGGTTAGGTACATGGCTCCACCTGAAAGAGCGAGGAGTTCTTACAAGTGCTTACATTTGGCCATAAACTAATAAACAGCTGTTAAATCAAGTTCTGTTTAGTTTATGCAGTAACATCTATGTGCTATATATTTCAATTTAGAAGTTTGCTAGGGCATTAGTTTGGCGAACATTGTTAAAGTTGTTTGTACAAACACTTACCTGTCCTGTCTTGTGTCTGCTCAAGGTTGTTTGGCCAAAAGAGTCGTCAAATTGGGATTGCAATGAACAGTGTGTTTAAATAAAACATATCTGTTCTGTTGTTAGTTGATTCAAGTATGATAAATTAAGGAACAATGTCTTACATTTGTTATATGTGAAGATTTTTATTCAAAAATATTAGTTGTTTTGCTGTTTTGGGGCTGAGTCATTTTATTTTTTATTTTTACAGATTACCTCCCCAGCCTTCAAAAACCTTTGTTCACATGAAACACATGGTGCTGGCTTACATCAGTATTATTTTTGGCATTATATACAGGTGCAGATATACAGCACATCGCTCCTACCAATAAATCAAAGAAGTTCCCACACCAAAGACCAGGATCTCTTACATATCTTCTATACCTTCTCTATCTTAATCTACACTATTAATCTATCTACACACCTATCAAATTGCTATCTCTCACCATTCTTGTGCTATCTCTCTCTATCACTATATATATACTCTATATGTCTAGATGTGTGGTTTGTTCTAAACACTGTCAATCAAGCATAGAAGCAACAAGTATTGCTCCCGTGGAAACAAGGGTGAAAAGCACCAAAGCTTCACTAAACCAAGGTCACATGACTTTGACATTTTGAACCACGCTTTGGAGCAGTGTTTCAAAACATCTGTGCTTCAGGATCCTGAAACAGCTTTTAAATGTCAGTGTTGAACTTCCCATCCCTATAAAAGACTTGGTTTGGTATACCACGCCATCGCTTTGGCCTCTCTGTCTACTACATTATCCAGCCATGACATGGTCATTCTAACAGAGGTCAGCGGAGGTCAGTGAAGCACTAGAATACCTGTACTGAAGGACAGCCCATGAGTTGAGTGTTCTTAGTGGCTCGATCCACCATCAGTCTGAACTCTGGGTCATCATATTCAAATCTGTTGCCATAAACAATGCAACATATGATGTTGGAGACAGCATAGTTTACTGGCTGGGCTGGGTCAAAGGCCTTAGCTACAAGAGAAAAGGTTTAGTGGTTTCAGTGGCATAATTCTCCAGTTAAAAACTTTACATATATTTACATACTATGTTGCCATAGATACAGTAATAGTAGTTAATGCAGCATAATTCACTGGTGTGTTTGTATTAAAGACTTCACCAAAAGACAAAAAAAATGTATGTACCATAATCTGGTTACCTTCTTTTGCTTTAAAGACTTCATCCAGGCGTTGACACTCCTCTAAGATTTTCTCTTCGCATGCATTTTTGCCCATTCCAAAGTCTTTCAGGTTAGTCAAGGCAAATTGCCTAATTTCTTTCCACGAGTCTCCATTAGCAAATACAATTCCTGCAAAATGTTTATGTTTTTTTCATTTGAATATGAAATTCTTTGTAAATTATCAGTTTTTAAGAAGCACTTTACACAAATTTTAAAACAGAAAAATATATAAAACACTAAAATGTTTTTGTTCCTCACCATGTGTTAATTTTAGGTCATGGATAATTGGGAAAATTTCTTTCTCTGAAAATGCATCATTCTTGACTAGTGCCTGCTTGATCGTCTTGTATCCTGCCAGCACCACCACTTTTTTGGGCCCAAAATGGACCGTGAATACTGATCCATACTTCTTGGAGAGCTGAAATTAAGACCATAAAATAGCTTGCAGGACTGAAAGAATGAAATAATATCAATTATGCATATTTGTATTCCCCCTTGTCTATCCATAAAGCAAAGAACAAGATTAGAGTAGTGTTGTAGTACCTGAGACCAAGACCAGTCTAAATACCACTTTTTTGATGGTCTTGGTCTCGTCTCGGACTTGACCGCATTTGTACTCGGCCTTGTCTCAGTCTCGGACATTGAGGACTCGAGATTTTATTTCAAGACCAGTCAAGACCACGACTTTGGGAATATCAATAAATTGCTTTTGCATTGTCTGATTTATTTGTTAACATCCTAATGTAAAACGTATTGCTTCAAATGCAACCAATAACCCTAAATAAAAATGTGTTGTTACCATAACGACCGTCCCTCCTCCCCGTGATGGTAAACATGGAAAAGGAGTGTTGAATAAAGATGCTTACGTTGATTTCAGCTCTTAGTCTTTGTATGTGGGTGTTTTAACGGGAATGTGGAATTTTCAGTTCAATTTAAGAAGTAACTATGATCTCGTTCCACATTTTATGTGTGTGTCATAATCTGGGGAACTGGTCTTGGTCTTGACTCATTCTCGCCCTGCCTCGGTCTTGGTCTCAGCCCCTAAAAGTCTTGGTCTTGTCTCAGTCTCAATAAACTCTGGTCTTGGTCTTGACTTGGTCTTGGTTTGTGCGGTCTTGACTACAACACTAGATTAGAGAGAGGCAATATAGTTCCCCATATCATTTACTTACCTCATACAGCGTCCTGTGGGGTAACTTAGCATCCAGCTGCAGCAAATTGCCTAACACAGGCAGTGGCCTGGGTCCTGGAGGCTCCTTTCTTTGATGGTCAACGCTGCAAAAAAATACATACAAGGCAAGTAGAATCCGAACAGTGCCCAGTAGCGTGGTTGTGCTGAGTGAAATCAGAAAAAGGGTTTCCATTATAGCCATATTTTAAGCAGGCATGTGCACACATAGACATAAAAAGGGGCTTCAGCACCTGCCCTTTTCTTCCTCAAGAGAGGTGTGCTTTTTATAAATGAATGAATATACCGTATATTTATTCCTGTTCCTGTTCAAACAAATATATCTATTGGGAAAAATACTAAATATTAGGTCAGAAGATGAGACTTTGTTGAGTTCCGATGCTCTCTCTCTCTCTCTCTCTCTCTCTCTCCCTCTTGCTTGCTCCGCTTCTCCCTGCAGCAGCACAACACACAGACAGACAGGCAGCAGCCCCTCCCAGCTTCTGGCTTGTGTGACAAAAGGCAAATACTGGCCTATACTTGCTAACATGCATGACTCATGAGCTGAGCTAATGTAATCAGTTAGCTGAAGTTTAGCTATAAGGCAATATCTCATGGCCATACAGGCTAATGTACTGCGATACTTAATGGAAACACTACAGGTAAATACAGTAGGGCCTAACATTTGTGTCTAATAATGTGTCAACTAATTAAAATGTGCTTATTTGCACACATTTGACAAGGAGCTGCAGGTGTATATGATAAACAAAATAACTAAAGTAAATCACCACAGAACCCCCGCGACCCTGTGAGCAGGATAAGCGGATGACGATGGATGGATGGATGGATGCATATCACCACAGAACTTCCCCAGTTAATTACTTACATCAAGTGTATTTTCCTCTGAAATGTTCTGTGTAAATATGCAGATTAGCTTGTCTTAGAAGAAATCTATAGATGCAAACAGACAGAACAAACACCTAAAGGTGTATTCTTGCTTTATTTCCAGAGCTAAAGAAGACATGGGAGAAAAATTGACCACTACATGAAGAAAGTGTAAATTTTGATTGCAGGCTCCTCATCTGATAACTGTCTATTCATTGAGTTTGTTGTATGCTGAAAGATCTTGATACAGACAGCCCTTCCTCAAATGTGAAACTAAGTCCATGTGAGTATCAGTAATTGCACGCGAAAAAAATAATTAATAAAAAAATAATTAATATAAAATAATAATTTTTTGTTGGGTGTGTTCGTAATGAGGTTGAACAACAAAAGGTGAAGAGGGGTGTGAAACTGGCTATTTCGGCATGTCCGGTCTTATCCTCTAATAGCAGTGGTGGGGGGTTGATCACCAAAAGGTGAAGACAGGTGTGAAAAGGGGGATATGTGGAAGGGGGATGTCCAGTGTTATCCTCTAAAAGCGGATGTTTGGAAGTGGCTTTAGCAGTCAGTTGTATACATAGCGGGCTAGTTTTTGACTTACATCTGACTGAGAGCGTGGAACAGGGTGACTGAACGATTTTTGGGTGAATCCACATCGGACAAAGCTATCTTTGTGCAGAACAACAGCGCCATCTTTGCAGCATCACAATCGTGGCCGTCACAGGTAATCAATTGGGTGTAATGACTCCAAAATGACGTATAATTATAGATCCTGTTGCAATGAGTATGGCTCCTAGAAAGAAGACTCCCTCAACAACATTGGCTGATTTTCTGGACCGAAATGCTTGGGCTCCTCAGTTTGAATGAGGGCAGGATTCTTGTTCGAGCATGGAACAGTTCATCTTTATACAAGAGAGCCTTGAAGTCTTCTCACACATTGATAAATTATTCAGATGGTATACACCTTATGTTAGATATGTAGGGATCAAAAGAAAACTTTTTAGTCCTGAAGACAAGGAAGATGAACAACAAACAATACTGTAGACAACCTCAAAGACCTCCATGATGGGGCCAACATTGACATTGTTCCAATTAAAATGTTTTGTACAGGTACCAGGACATGTGCAGCAGGTGAGGGTCTATGAAGCACCCCTAAACATTTTCCATTACTCCAGGAAGACGTCGTCGATAACTCATGGGTGGATGACCATGGCAAAGAACTGTGAAAAAGAAATTTAACATTTCTCATTCCTGAAGAAAAATCAGAAGACGACAAGAGCAGGGTCAAGCCGTTTAAGGGTGCATGTTTGGACACTCTGGACTGTTGCGACAAGGACACGTCTCCTAATACTACTGCTAGCAGTATTATACAGGTAACATACTGCAGCAAAAAGCTAAACAAACATGTGTGTATTGCACTTATACAGATGAATGGAGCAGAAAACAACCTCACACATGCATTGACACGCTGCCCTTCTTTTATATTAAAGGACATAAGGGGGAAATTACGCAGAAGCTTTTTAAGAAAATTTTCGCTGATGCTCAAATGTACATCCTACGTGGTCTTGGTTGGTACCAACGTGTGAGTGCAGTATTCGAGACATTGCAGCAGGTGCTCTACAGATTTGGCTGAGGAACCCTTTTCTCATTGCTTCGCTTAAGCGGTTAGTTAGAGTGGTGGACAGTGTGAGCACTGTAGTTAAGGAATCTCTGGACATCTGGAAGGGGGAACAACACTAAAAACAATGGGGAATGTGTCTAGTCTACTAAACTATGTCAAAAAGAGATACATCGTGTATAAGATAAGAGCACTGTGAAGCTGTTAACAATGCGATATGTGACATAGATAGGATACTATGTTGTTCTAAATTTGACAAACAGACAGAATGTGTTAGAGGAATGACCTCTGGATGGCGTACCATGGTGCAAATGACTGCAGATAAATTTGCAGATGTGAAATCTACTCTACTGGATGCAGCAAATGTTTTTCCTGTGAACAATAATGATTTTCATATGGGGCATGTGTTTTGTTTTTGTACGGAGGCAAGCAAAAACTTAAAAAGGCCATATTTGACACTACTGGAGTTCGGTGCGCAGATTCAGACGTAGAAAACTGGCTCATGAAGCAAGATGCCTATACTCTAAAAAGACGGCTCCAGTGCAAGAGAAACAAGGTTTTAGTGAATTCAATAGACTGGCAATTCCAGCTAGATCTGAAATCTAAAATGTGGCCTTATTTACAAGCCAATAATTCTAAACAATACATAGATATATTGCAGGATTTAGTCACCTCCTACAATCATAGTTATCATCGTAGTATTAAAATGAAACCGATTGATTCAACAAAAGACAATGAAGATATCGTATTTAACAATTTGTATAAAACAAAAGATAAAAGAGTAATTCGTTTTAAATATAAGGCGGGCGATACTGTAAGAATTTCAAAACTATGCGGCCCTTTTAAAAAATGTTATGAGCAAAATTATGCTGATGAATATTTCACTGTAAAGGAATATGTGTCAAGGGACCCTGCTGTTTACAGGTTAAAAGACTATGACGAATATGAATATTACAGGGAACATTTTATGAGCAAGAGATGCAAAAAGTTATTATATATAAAAACAAAACATTTAAAATAGAAAAGATTTTATATAGAAAGAAAAGACAAGGCCGGGACATGGTGTTAGTCAAATGGGTCAGATGGCCAGATAAATTAAACTCTTTGGAAAAACAGGTCATTTGGTTAGCTTAGCAGATTACAAACACACGAATAAATGGACGTGGAGGATTGTTTTGTCACCCTGCCCAGCAACTCCTCTGCATTATTTTACCCGAGCAATACAACAGCAAACTTGAGGCAAGGCAAGGCAAGGCAAGTTTATTTGTATAGCACATTTCAACAACAAGGTAATTCAAAGTGCTTTACATAAAAGCAACAGGGAAATATAAAAAAGTTTAAAAGCAACATAGGCAAATTGAAAAAATACACATTAAAATATAATGTAACATGTCTAAACTATGTATGAATTTTAATAAATTTATGAGAATTAATACCCAATTATGAATTTTAATATTCAGAAAATATTAATACATAAAAAGCTCTCCTTTCGCAGGGGCAACACCGGAGTTGTTATTAACCTAGAGTCTCCAGACCTGTAGGTAGCTTTTAATAATTATACAATTATTCACCAGTGATTAGTTAGTTAATAATCGCTCAATTATCTTAAATCAGTCAGTCAGTCTCATATCTAAAAGGGTAAATTCTCTTGGCAGGGACTAAGAAGTAGGCAATACACACAATTCCTTGGTTACAGAGAATTTATTAACTAACTAAGGTGATATAAAAAGGTGGTTAAATACATAAGAGAATTAAAAAATGGCTAAACAGTGAGAATGGCGGTTCGATTGTGGGAGGACTTGACTCATACAGCAGAGCTACAGAACTAATGAAAGTAAGCTATGAGTTTAGGAGATAAAAAGACAATATTAACACTATGGGACATCCCTGACCACAGAATGCTTCGTTTTGGTCTTATGGTAGGTCGGCGGCCCACGCTAGCTGCCCGATTCCTGGCTTTTTGCTAGGGAATTCTCCGGGGTTCTTCGTGTCTGATTGAAGAAAAACCCTCAAGGGTTGGCCGTCCTCCGCCGGGAAATCGGCTGTTCTTCAGGTGTCTTTGGTTGCCGTTGGCGAGACCACGTGACTTGGTCTGACCTCGGTGAAGTTAGCTCGACAAGCTTAAAAGGGAACTTGGTCGTCTTGAATTAGACTAGTGTAACTTAATGGACTGATAACTTTTAACACAACAAAAGAAAGAAAATAAAACAAGTAAAGTTGCCGGAACTGAGGGACAAATCGATGTCGCAGCACTTCGCGTGTGTAGCTTCAAGCGAAACAAAGACTTTGTTGTGCTGGTCAAATTCTAAGGGCCTTGCCAGGAGAGGGGCACGCCGGGCACGTGCTGAAGTGCCGTTGAAGAGCCCAGAACAAACCGGCAGTCAAGAGGGAAGCGTCCAGAGAGCGAACGACGTCACCCACTTCGAATGTTATCACTCGACTGAATGGGCGTTATCAGTGGTTATCAGCCCCATAGATAAGGGTCAGAAGCGCCCTACTGCACCTACTGGTAGGTTCAGAAGGTCGTTATCATCCATTCACATGGTTAATCACCGATACTAATAGAAGAGAAGACTCCAGATCCTGTCCAACAGGAATCCAGCTCACCGCTGACCGGAAGTCTGCTGGTTAACGGGATATTTTCAAGTAAGACCATTTAAAAGGCGAACATTTTAACGGTGATTAATTAGCCAATATGCGAAAGTAATACAGAAAAAATAGTTTTAAGGTTGTGTGACATGAGTGTTGACAAGAAATAACGGTTTTGCTATTGTGTTTGCTTTACATTATTAGCATGTATGCTTACGTTAGCATTACTAATTATTAGCATGTTTTACGTGACAGCTTATAACAGGTAAATTAAATTAGCTTCAAGTTAGCCTGTAAAAATGACATTTTCCACAATGTAAGATTGTAAAATATTCAAACCCA